AGCAGGAAATAACAACTACCATTTTTAAGGACTTTGATAATTAGTCCTGGCCTTGGGACAGAACCCAATTGCTTTCCTCGTCTGGGCGAACATTCAACATAAAAGCCAAAAGTGAGGTATTGCCAAGCAAGGCGTTAGGAAATAAAAGGCAGATAGAAGTAGTAAGAAATATTAAGATAAAAAATGTTGCAATGGGTCAACAGATTTATTTGGTCGCTTTTGAGTCCCCAAGTACCTATAGAGGGCACACATGCAGGGGGTTGCCATATTAGTCGCCTCTTTCGATATTAGATACGTGCAGTGTGTAACAGCAGGTGCATTCTTTTCTCGACAGAAATATGTGAAAGAAGTTATTGTGGGTATGACACCAGTGCATCATACGCTTACTTCCAAACAGTTACCAATGCACAATTGTACATCAATGTTGACTAACTCATTGTACATGTATTTGCTGCTGCAATTACATGTAAAATAAAAGGATAATTGATTCAGACAGAACTTCCGGTATACAGTAAATAGCTCTCTGCAATTGAATAAAGTCCCGAAGTGACGAATCGGTGTAGTCCAGTTTGGGATCTAAGACAAAGTGTTTCCTTACAATGTTGTGATTCTGTATTGATTTGTATGATAAAATATTAATTTCCTCCATTGTTTCCGAGGCAGTGAGTGATGGCCTTAAAGTGGAACCATCAATATTCCCCAACAAGCCAGTCACTCTTTTATCAGAGCTTGCTCATACGTATTGGTCACTAAATACACTCGGCCAACTAAATGGGAAGGCGAAATATAATGGTGGCTTGCAGGTTCGATGACACCCGGAACATCTCGGACAGTTTTCTTAGAAAGGGCCGACGTTTTGCCGATGGGTTCCTTGTATGTTTATTGTGTCGCCTCATACATGTACTACGACTATAGTTACTTTCGAGAGATTTTTTGTTGGTTATTTTACGTGCCAAACAAACTTTTGTGAAAATAGCATTATTCTAGACGCCGATTACTACTATGAACTTATGTATGTAGATTTTTAATATATAATCTGTATTTCAATTTGATAGTTCTATTCTTATCAAATTTAATTTCAAAAGTTCAGACAGCATTAATTCGGATCAATCAAAATTACCGTCCCGAGTTGAATTATTCAATCAAGCTGTAATTCGACAACATTCGGTAAATTCCGTTATTTTCTGCTACATCAATTTCAATATAAACTCGTATTGATAAATTGTTGTACCAGAAAAAAAGTGCCGCTTGGTTAAATAAAGCAATAAACTCGGCAGCAAAATTCGTTCAGCATTCACAGCAGACTACCACAGTTTCCCGCCATTTACCATCAGGTCATCAGGCGCGTGTCGTCTGCTAGTACGGTAGGAAGGATAATGGTTTATACAAAAATTGGATGAAATGTACTTAAAATATATCGGTGATATATTTTCCAAATGAGACCCGTTTTTCAAAATTATCTTCAAACGCTGGTAGTATGTTTCAACTTAAAATGAGCACGCGCTTGCACGAGAGGTGTCTAACTATACGGGCAGTACCGGAGATAAGTTTCCTAGAACAGGCGATGTCGTGGGAACGTACTGTTGAAAAGATGATAATGGGTTATTCAGGTTAGTGATACGGGTCCCAGGGATCTAATTACAGGTACATGTATCATGTCGTATTGACGGGATCTTGTTAGCAATAGAAGATGATGATAACCTCTGCCTATTTATCAAACCATGTACTTTGAAACGGACTTATATATGACTGTACATATTACGAAAAGCGAAACTAAATTAAGGTTGTTCTTTTCTCGGGAAATCAAATCGTTATTGATGACACAAGTCACTTTCCGAACTCTACCAGTTCACAACACAGGGACTTAAGAACTGAGAAACAGTATACACGTTTACATTATGAAACCTTTGCTGATGTTCATGAAGTATTATTGGATATTTTAGGGGTTTAATTCAATCGACAAAATTCAACCGTTATATTGTGGATGATATAAACCCCTGAAATGAATAATAATACTCCCGACAAATCAGGAAATGCCAAAAAAGTCTTTATTTGCAGGTCCCTGTGCTTCAGGAGTTGGTACAGAAAAGTCAGGGCGCATTACTGTGCATGTGTATTTACTCTTGAGTTTATGAACATCAACAAAACTATTTTATGTACTGTTTAATAAAAATCCGTCATTATATAAAAAACGACGTTTAATAAAAGGATTCTTAAACAAATGTTCTGGCTAGGAAATGACAAAACAGATTTAATGACATGTATTTGTTGCATGAAGATTCCGTTGCGATGCTGAAAAGATAATGTATGGCATTACAGATCATTGTTTAAACACAGGCCAACTCCTCCGCTCGGACAGACGACCGTGGTTTACGAGGGGAACACAGCCCATCTTAACACGTTAACCGTTGTCTTATTAGTTTGGCCAAAAGCCCAGGCCGTAAGGTCGTTTTTCAGACACGTAAATTGTCTTTTTCTCTGTGATAGGTGCCGCATGGAAGTGTCTGGCTAGGCTCCGTCCTTCTGTTTAGTTTTCTCAACTCATATCATTCATTTAAGTGTTCCAGACTGAGTTTCATTTCAGGTTTTCCGGAGTCCATCATGGTTACGTTTCTCACATAACTTCATTTAAAGTTCCCCGAATAACGGAATCTCAAGATTTTCAAACTTATGAAGTTCCTTTTAATGTGTCCGGGGTCACCAAGTTTTATGTAAGATTTTTCGACTTATTGAGTTTCAGTTAAGATATTACAAATCACTGATTATCAATGAAGATTTCCCGACTCATCGTATGATTCCCCAACTATATTGGACTTTTTATAAACCGGGTCACGGAGTGTTTTTAATCAAGCCATACAAACATGAAGTGGGATACAGCATGCTGTCCTTATATCTGCAGACATAGTTTGAAATACCGTAATCTTGTTTTATTAAGATTCCCTAACCCACAAGATCAGTTTCTCCTCGACACAGACGTCCTTAAATGACCTTAGCTGTTAATAGGACGTTAAAACCGTTAAAACCAAACACAAACCCTTGACACAGGGATTTTTCGCGTTTGGTTTATTCGGAGATGTCCCCAATTTTCGAGGTCAATTTTCGTTTGTCGTTTTCCTCAATAAATATTTTTTTATTTTCAAATTTGGTTTAGTAACGTTTCTTAGCTTAGTTAATAAACAGTTGAGTAAGTTACCGCTGACCTGGTAATAGCGACCAACGTGAGAGTCACTAACCCAATAACGTTTTTAATGAACTTAAAATGATACATGAGGTTGATTCCTAATTTTACAGTGGCGGATCCAGAGGGGTTTTTTGGGCTTCAGGAAACCCCCCCACCCTGAGAATTTTCTTTAAAAATCATATATTTTCACCATTTTCCTCAATTTTTCCCCACATGGAAACCCCCCCAGGAAATTTGGAAACCCCCCTAGAAAGGTCTCTGGATCCGCCACTGATTTATTATACAATATTTACAATAATAACAATAAATTGTAGGCTATTTTATAATGGGGTCAACGTCCGCGCAACAGCCAGAGTCATACACTATACATGTGTAAAGACGGCTGATCAGAGAGACACCGCAAGAAACGGAAAGTAAATATGAAAGAAAGATAAGATATTAGAAATAGGAGAAAGAATGATCCCGAGCGTTGCAATGGGTACATCAGATTAATTCTGGTCTTTGCGATGTATTATTAGAAGTAGGACATAGAAGAAACCCCCTATTCTACACAGGGTCTCACGTTAGGCGCCTCACATGCAGTGGGAAACAGCTGGCCTTTCTCTGTTCTCATCTGAAAGGACACACAGAAGTAACAATACCGGTTCTTCGGGGAGCCCAATATAAGTCGCCTCTTACGATCATGAAGTTGGAGACAGCAGGCCTATTCTTTCTCTGAACCTGTACGAGTCGTATTATATGTTAAAAAGGTTGGTTTGGAGAATTTATTTCTTAAAAATGAGGTTGTTCTCAATTTAGTTGGCACAATATTCATTTGTTTTATAATAATGCAAATCACACCTATAGATACGTTAGATAAAAGTAACTATTTTAGACCATCTCTTCGCACAATTTCACGTTTAGGTATGATTTGTATATGCACTCTTCAATGATCTTAAAATACACCTTTGATATATTATCATCTTACAGGATGATTTTATTGATACAACATTTGACTAAAACAATAATTTTGTTTTACGTTTTTATTTATTTTTTATTGAAAAAAATGGACATTCATTTAGCATTTAACCTTTTCGATTATAGATATACTACTGTTATAGGATTGGTTTTATCATATTCTTACTGTGATGTTGTTAATAAATAGGGTTATCGGTTTATAGGATTAATACTATTTCATTGATTCAAATCGTTTTAATCGGACACTGAACCCCCTGTGTAATCGATAGGAAATTATTCAGTAAGAGTTGTCGCCCTTCCAACATAATTTCTAACATCATTCGTATATAAACCACATTCAATGTACTTGACAATGACATTAGTGTGACCTGGTACACGAAGTTTCCCTAGCACCTTCACTCCCAAAGAGCTCCAGTCCATCATAGAAACATGACTTGATGAATGGTGGTTTGTAAGCAGAGATCAAACATGCATAGTAATGTATACAATTATTAACATCAACACTCAATTGCTTCTGAATATATCTTAAACAAGGGAAATAACTCTATCACGAATCACTAGTATAATGTGTAACGTAGCGTATGTCCTTAGTGATTTGGTTTTATTAGGCTTAACGTTTTATTTAAACGCTAAGGTCATATATGGTTTTTGCCGTCATGTATGTAATGTACATGTATGCGTGTGTGCCAGAAGCGGTTTGTTGGTGTATTTGCCTCCGTGTGACAGCGCGAATCTAATGCACCTCACTGAAATACCATGCCGAAGGTACCCAGCACAGCATTCCGCCCGGTCACATTATACTGACAACGGGTAAACAAGTTGTTACGATTACCCCATATGGTAGCATGTTAAGGACGTTGGTATGTCTCGGCCTGGAGACAGGACCGATGACCTACCCTGCTCGGAGGAACGCTCAATACCAAGGTTAAGAGGGAAACAGGTACGTAACCCGTATGCACCTCTTTTAGAGAGTCTAAAACAGTCAACTATTTTGAGAAATGATAAATACTTGGTTTTGGTAAAGTTGTTAAAAAGTTTGTTCCGCTACACAAGGATTCTAATATGCCGGATTGATGTTTTTTTTATGTTTTAACCATTATTTGAGGGAATGGTTAGGGAATACTTCAGATGAATTTCAAGGTGAAGGCCAAGGTCACCGTTACTATAAATAGAAATGTATCGTCATTGCTCCAGCGGCTTCATCATGCTGTGTATACTTAATTATGAAAATAGTTTACCAAAGCTAAAGTCAAGCTATAGTCAAGCTCGGAAAACTGCTTCCAATTCATATTTACGGCTAATGGCAGTGGTACGGGGTACAGCCATGTTCCCTCCTTATTTTGTATGTTGTTAAAAATCAAGTTATTTTCTTTTGCGAGCTGAAGTATTTCTACGTGTTATCATTGATTCAATCAGCCTTTGTACCCCCTCGATAGCTAATAACCAAATAATGTTCTTATACTCCGGAGCCNACCCTCCCCCTCCTCCTTTTTGCAAATATCATGTCTTTACACGCATTAACGGACAATCCTTTTCAAGTGTTGATGTGAATTTTTATGTGTTGTTGTCGGACATGTTTCTCTTACTTACAATGTCGAAACTCGTTTAATTAGGGCTCATTTCGGAATGTTTCTAACGTGAAACCCACGTGAGCCGTATTAACTAGACCCCCGGTAGACTAATTGGTGCACTAGCGATTTTGATGTATAGACTGTCTCCCGAATTTAGCGATGTGTTAGGTTTTGTTCATATTTTTCACAGATTCTTCCAAACCATAATGGAAATAGCATGTAGCTTCCGAAATTTCCATTCGTGAATAATGGATTTCCGTCAAACAAAAATGAACAATGATTTTACGTTGGTATCTTGGTGCGTTATTAACGATGCCCTCGATGGTATTTTTATGGTATTTTTTATTATTTTTTTGAGATTTTCAAACGAACATGATATCTCGCTCAAAGATATAACAGAAGGAACGGCCAGTAAAAATATTAACATCAATCTTTATTTGATTTTGATTTTGAAAGAAAAGCAGATGAATGGATCTTTGGTATTCGCCTAATCCTAGAGAGGGTATGGCAGGTAACGTTCGCCGAGCACCTAATTCAGTTCGCCTCAATTCAGTTCAATTTCATAACCAAATGCACATCAATATATAACTATTGCTCAACACTTCACTAATATCTCACTGACACGGTCTAAAAAAAGACAGAAAATGACCAAGTACTTCGTATGTACGTGCATTCGGTGATTCCGTGTCTAACGATTTCCACCAAACCTGCTTAAAGAGTAAAAAAGACAAATACATAACAAAATAAATATCTGTTTGTTTTGTTAACTTTGGTATATATTTTGAAATATCAACATTATGTCTAATTGTGTCCGTTTAAAAGAACTCGAGAAACTTTCAGAAGAAATTAATCGAAATGCTATAGAATGTACGTACCTGGATATTGGTGTTGAAAAACATGCAACTTTCTATATATTATTTTCCTGTAATTATGTTTGATAGAAAAATTAGTATAAGCGCTAAGCTTATATCCAAATCTCTCTGAAATTACATTTATATATTAATGTTGCCCAATTATTGAATAAAATATAGTTTAAACTAATTTTCCATATAGCCTGTAATAGTATGTACATGCATGTTCACGAGAAATCCAGAATTATAAAATGTATGTTTGATCTCTTCCGGTACCTAAAAGGCAAAGATAATCGCCGAGAGATTTACAACAGAAACAACGCTTTTTTTTTTGTTCCCTGTGCAAGTTGACTAATATATAGTGGAGTTTTATTAGACATTCTCACGCCTTTTTGCTCGGTTTTTGCTGCTATATTTCTCAAGTGGTAGTTGATTGTCCAAGGCGATCTGTGGTAATGCCCTATTGTACATTAATCCTACCTCCCTCGCACGGAATCTGACGTGCCACACTTCCGTTCCGAGGCTAAATTTAACCGCTGTTCAATTCGTAATGACGTAACCCCCTGTTGTTTATGTAATGTACTAAAGATATATACATACTTCCTGTTCCCCGGTGCATTTGAGTGGTCACAAATATAGAGGTCCAACTCACATTGTTCACAATACCGTATCATTTATTTAAATAAACCCACTTCAAAACTTGGCGTAGGCTGTGCGTTCTTGGTCGCATTCGATGAAGAACATACAGTATTTGCGATGGGTGCGTTCGATTATCTCGCGAGTCGAACGTCTTAATTTATTTAGCTCACCTGGGGGAGTATAATTGAGGTGTTTAATTCAGATAAATGGTCTGTCATTGTCTAACTCCCACGCCATGGCATTGACACAAATAGACAGATCTTGCAACGCTTCAAACGGCTATTGAATTGTCAGTCTTTAAACGAACACGCCTAATTTGGACTGGAAATAAAAACTATATATTATGAATGAATAGCGACATGAAAGGTAAAACTCGTTTTCTAATATCTTCTTAAAAGTACGAATGTAATAGTATTCAAGCACCTGAATAAAGATATGTTTTGATATTTTAATTGTTGTTTAGATACCATTGATACGAAACTATTACCTCCTCTTGTCTCCCCGTTTAGACTATGTATAGCGATACTGACGTTGCGGTACATGTTTATTACAACCATACTACTCATGTTCTTGAACTAATGTAGTTATCACATTTTGTTTATTCCATACTAATTTTTCACTGACTCGCGGGGACACCTTCGTCATCTCACTGCTGAATGCCACTTATCATCGAACGGCGTCCAAACAATTATATGTTACAAGGAAGGTTAAAACTAGACACGTATACTAAAACTTTTATATAATGCCCCTCTTACATACTTACATTAAAACTTCGATAACACGCCCTTGTTCAAACTTCAATAGAATGCTCTTCTTACGAATAGCAATTTTGATATAATGCCTAAATTACAACTTCGAAATAATTTTGATATAATGTCCTCCTCATTTTCCCATTTAACTTCGATATAATGTCCCTCGTTTATATTTACACATTAAAACTTCGATATAAAGCCTTCGTTTATATACAGACTTATTCGATATAATGCCACCTTTTATCACATTAAAACCATTTTGGATAACATTCCCCTCATTCCGTTTGCCATCTCGCTTAACGACAGCTCATTTTATTTTTTATAATTTCTATAGATCGCTCTCGGTGTATCGTCGAATACCTCATATTTGTAACGCCAATATTTCGCTGCCCAATCGAAGGCGGTATAAAGAGGTTTAACAATAACATCTTTTAGTGTTGTGTTGGTACCTGTTTTCTCAAGTATACCATCTTCAAAATCTCGTTCGGACGCTTTCAACATATGAGGGGACCCTATGGACCTCCTGATGGGATATCATTGACGATCGTTGCAAAATCGTAAAGGTGATTATGAATCAATTCTCCTACTGGGATCGATGGAGTGAACAAAAGAAAGCACCTGCATACAAATTAACAACAATGGAGAGTGCAGATGTGAAGAAGTTCGACATTTCGAAGAATTAAATGTTTGATAATCATATGGTCACAAATTGGAATAATTGGAAAGTATAAGGACAATAGTACAATTGGTTTGGCAGCGAAAACCATTCGTGTATTTGTACAGTGTATAAGGAAAGCAAGTTAGATATATGTATTTTCCGATTGACATTATCACGGTCTTCCCACGTTGCCTCTCTAAGATGTTTTGAGACGGCGGTGTCGCTCCCGTTTCGTTTTGGTGCTCCACAACAACCCACAGACATGCTAAGTTCGGTCCCCGTAGGTTTTTTAACGGCTAGAAGTCGCAGGCAATTATCGCACACTTGGCTGTTGACTTGAAGCGTTATTCATATCCAATGTAAAACTGTGAAGGGTGGCTATAGACAATATTACCATTTCTTGACTTAAGAGACGATTTACGACGATTCGAACCCCCTCGTGAAGTTAGTATCATCTGCATCGGAAGTCTCAGACGAATTGATAAAATTTATTATTAAATTTTCAAAGGGGAATATGAAGCCTTTAGTGACGGATTCATGGAACATGGTAATTTCTTTCGACATTTATGAGATGTTTTGTCGGTACATTTTAAACGTTTGGCGTTATCGTATAATCTGATTACGTATTTTTCTATCGTTTATGACGGGGGAAACGGTCAATTCGTCTACAGAGGTCTCGATGGCATAGATTGGTGGTTTTCAAGTCCAGCCATTTATAGCTGTTTGACAGATTTTTCTTATGTTTGATTTTTTTTTAGATATACCGATAAGATGATAAGAAAATTGCTGTAAATGTCATTTAAAAAATAGTAAATCTTGTGTTGATGACTCTCACGAGACATATAATGTAACTTAGTATGGATGCATACTACTATAAATTGGGAAGAGTTATAAAATATCAACTTTTTTTTTTTTTTTTTTTTTTTTTTTTTTTTTTTTTTTCNCCGACTTGTATCAATCACTGCCAAGCTTGTTGGCCCGGACAGAAGCCCGCGAATGGTCTTAATGTGGGAGGAAACCGGAGTATCGGGAGGGAGTGTTAAATTATCTCCCTTCATAATGTTTTAATAAAATAATGTATTAATCAGCCATTAAGTAAATGTTTAAGAAGTACTACAGATGCTTATGACGTCATTTTATTTAGAATGATTAATGATGAGCATTATTTTTGGTCACCCTTCACATTTTAAACGTGCCTTCAATTACAGTAATTTAACATCTTCAAATCGGCATTCATATCAGTCGTTGAACACGTTTCTATAATGTGAAACTCTTTTGGCAATGGGATTCATGATGGAATACACGTGTAGCATACAACCTTAAATTTGACGAAGCTAATATAATTGATTTCATAGAAAAACACAAGGCTCGTTAGCTGGATAAGCATCCCTGCAAAGATTAAATGCGCACGCACGTCCAGAATAAGCGCAATAGTGACACAGTGGTACAAAATATGTGTATTTAAAAGT